GCTCACGAGCATGGCAGGACAGTCTAATTCCACAAGATGCAGGCACAGTAACCCCCACGCCCGCACTAGAGATGAAGTTTCGATCCCACAACGTGAATTGGTTCAGACTCGAGAAGTAGCTTGCCAAGAATTGAAAAGAGCACTTTTTTGTTGAATCGTTCAAGTAGTGGCCGATTCCTCTCACTTTTACGTGTGCTGTTACATAACAAGGGAAGGGATTGGAATTTGGAATCGCTGGGGGGTTACCATGTTTTCTTGCTGAATAATCGATTTGTTATTAGCATGTTTTCTTATCTTTCTAGTATTTGTGAGTTATTAATTCCAAATTTCATTTTACATGACGATTTTCCATTTCACCTCCCAAATGTGTTTCGTCATTTATACTAGGATGATGATCCTTTTTAATCTAGAAAAAATGTTGTTATCAATAGTTCTATAAATAATGGATGTAAAACTTGTAAGCATGTTGAGTATAAACCTAAATCATGAAATGACTATAAATGGACAAAATCACATAAAAAGATATATTTTTGATATTTTATATTTTTGAAGATACACAAAAAAATCAAGGGTAAAAAATGAGTTACAATCAAGGTCAGCGAGCTTGGTGTAGCCCCCAAATAAAAAGGTAGGAGGAGACTAATTGTTGGGTTTAGTCTCTAATCTCTTGGATCATGACCTGTATAATCTAAAAAAAGAGGGACAGAAACCTAAGGTCTTTTAGGTTATATAAGGAACTATGTATAAAAAGCTAATTTTGATTTATTTTCAAGTGGATGAGCCGACATATACAAAAAAGAAAAAATAATAAGAGAGTAGCTTGAATAGTTTTTGTTTAAGTTTTGATAGGCAATTGATTCACTGTTAGATTAAAGCTAAAGTCTTCACAACAGGTTTTGGATATATAACTTTTTATTTAATATGGTTGGATTAAATATTAGAGAGTCTAAATTAGTTTGTTCTTTACATAAACATGATTGTCAATTTTGTAAGATTTTTCAAACTTCTTTTTTAGTGTTGATATATTCTAAGAATATCTTAAAGATTTATGTTATAACTTTTAATTTTAATCAAGGAATAACATTTATTTACCTATTATCATGATTGGTAGATTATAATTCTATTATTTTTTTATATCGAGATTTTCTATGTAAAAATTGTAGTATTAATTTATTGTGATTTTTTGTTAAGTTCGGTGATTAATTAGGGTAAATTGTGTTTGATTATTGGTGTGTTTTTTACGCTTCTTGCCCAGCAATCATACCATCAAGGAGAGGTTCAAAGGCTGGCTTGACTGGGGGATACATAGTTAAATGTTTTTTTTCCATATAAATGTCCATTGAAGAGGTACATGCATTTAAAAAGGTCATACAAACACCTCGTTTGATGAATTAATGAGATGGACCCGCACGCGTTGATTGTAATCCTGATCGTGGCGTGCACCTCGCATCAGATTGACCTCAGAAAAATAATATTTTTTTCCCAACAATAATTCAGTGCCACGTAAGACATAAATAATAGTGTCGTACCAACCGCACAGTAAAATCTTTTGTCAAGCTAAGAATAGTTTTAAATTCAAGCTAAGAGGCCGCGTGTTTATAGCTACTTTAACATGAGCCTTTTAATGTTGATGTGATTATACCTTCTACCAAACCAGGCTAACCAGCAATTTAAGATTTTGGAAAGATCCGTTCCCTCTTTATCCCATTGGTAAATGATAAATCAGAGTACCATTATAACATAATTAAAGAATAATTACTCATGAGAGATAAACACCAACAAGAGAGATAAGAAGGAAAAAAACATTAAATATGATTGAGAATATTCATATAGATTTTAAATTCGATTTTCGCTTTCATCTTTTATTTATATCTTTCTTCAAAGTAAATTTAATAAACAACTACTCAATTATTTTAAAAACACCATAAGATTTTCTATTTGCCACTCACTTATTCTCTATCCATCAAATTAGCTCAAGCGTTATTAATTTAGTGAATTAAATCGGGCGTTATATGATTACAGTTAAATGACATAAATGGAGTCTTTCTTGCTAATGACTATATACGTAGATGGGAGATCATCTGCTTTATCATTGCTTTTTTTAAAAAAAAAAATAAAAAAATCAAATTTAACATTTTATTTATTGATTGGCAGATAAGTAGATAATATCAAACTTGTCTTCATTAACTTAAACTTCCTCGTATTAAAACATGTTTTATTTTTGAACATGTAATTATAAAAAAAATGTAATGATTGTGTAAAATAAAATTCTAATGTAAAGTTTGTTATAATGATAAATTGATAATGAAATGACAAGCAAAAACTTTTGTTTTAAAATTCCTTAACTTGGTAATTGAAATAAAAGCATCAAACCTAGTTGTCGTTGGTGCAGTAATATTTTATCATGTGCAGCCTGCAAAGACAACAACACAGCTTATAATAGAGAGAGCGTTTTCACTTTAATTGATATTTTATTTTATTCGATGACAAGATTGCATGTACATGCACGTGAATTTAGTAAATATTATATGTTCAGAAAACAATTGATTGCATAGTTCCCAGCCTATATGCTTATTAAATAAATAAACCGGTCCATGATTTTTAAGATCTTGCTAATCAACTAAATGACCTTGTTTGGACTATAGTTTACGACTGAAGAAGAGTGGAAGGGGATATTTGTATCAGTCAACTAATATGGATTTTTCATATGTTTCTTGGGAAATTCTTTGGAACTAGAATTTCCATGGTCTGTACCGATTTTGGTACTTTTATCATTTTCATATTGTAAGCAGGTTTGAACCAATTAGAATCAGAATGATATACTAAGGAATTATTTGTTTTTGCTGTCCTAGAAAAAAATTTGATTTTTTTTAATTTTTTTGTATTTCTAAATTAATTTTTTTTATTTCTAAATTATTTTGATATATTTTTTTAAAAAATTTCCAAACACCCTTTAATAAATCATTATAGCATTCTTCGGAGAGAGAAAAAGAGTATGTTATAAATGGACAAGGAAACTGGTGAGGAAATGAGGTTGTCAGGATGTATTTTTATGTGTCTGAGGTGGTTCCTAAACATGATGTGCTCGGATCCATGGGCCCCTGTCCCTCAATGTGTACAGCCTTCATCACATAAATATCAATCAATGTGTAAAGAGAGCAGTGCTATAAAACACCGACGGGCTAACGTGTCAACTTGAAATTTGGCTGATTTGAGATACTTGTGTTAAAGAAATTGAGGAATTTGTGTTAAAAAAATAACAAAGGTATGTTTTACACGGTTTAAATTGTGAATGACCTGATTTGATTCATGATTCAATAAAAAATCCTTTTATTTTATTTAAAAAATAATATTTTTTTATCCATTTAAAAAAATTTGAATTGATATAAAAGGATGTTTGGAAGTTGGGTTTAAACCTATAAAGAAGATCCCGTTTATCTAATTAAGAATTTTTTTATAATATATTTTTAGATGCTAATCAAAAGTACTTTTATATTGAAAAATATTAAAATAAATTTTTAAAAAAATATACATATAAAAATTATTTTAATTTATCAAATGAAAAAATATTTTTTTAAAAAAAACTTGAAAGTATGAACACGCAATGCCTTGGCATCTCTCATCCGGCTGGGGACAAAATACACCCCACTCGGAGGTCACCTCCAGACCGTAGCGGAGGAACCCGTGTACCTCGTCACCGAGTGGGAAATCCTCCGGTCAAACCACTTTGTTGAATTTCCTATGAAGATCAAGAGAATAAATAAAACATGGGCTCTCTGTGCATTCTGATTTTTGGTCTCGACGATCTTATTCATATTCGACTCTGAACGAATAATGGTTGCTTTTTTGCGAATAAGAGGTGGCGATCTCTGACTGGTTCAGAGGTTATTTTATACTGCACCCAAAGCTCGCTCTACCGGAATCAGCTTTTACAGTAACTAAACGTTCTACACTGGTCCTAAACTAATCGCCTGCCTCCAGCACACTCACGTGACCTCTCTAATTCGAGATTTGATTGGTTCAAGGCTATACAAGACGCCTCGAGCCCTAAAATAAGAGGACATTTCCATCTTCTTCTTCCTCCTCCTCCTCAAGCTGTTCTCTACAAAAGCATGCAATATAGTCTTTTAAAACTTTCTTTTCTCCTCTGTGACTCTGTCTTTACTTGAACATCCAAAGGTTTTGTATTGTTTTAAAAGATTTTCTTTGTTCTGTAGCCTTATGCAACCCGTGAGTTCCCACCCTTCCACAACTCCAGTCCATTTCGGTTTTCGAGGGAACAAACTTTCCTGTAGAGGTTCATCGCGACCTCATGAAGAATGGTATTAGAAGCGTGTATACAGGTATAACAGCAGCAGTTTATTTTTAAAATATTTTTTTATTTGAAAATTATTAAAATAATATTATTTATATTTAAAAATTTATTTTTAATATCAATATATTACGTATCACACACTTTTACGCTGGTATAATTTAATAGTTGTTTTTTAATATAGTAATGGTTTCTTTTCGTTTAGAAATTACAAGAATAATTATTAATTTTAGTAGAATTTATAATCTAAATTACAAATTTAACATGTTAAATCATAAAATCTAAATTTATTTAATACATCATTTTTTTAATAATCTTTTAAAAAATCATCTTAATTTTTTTTTAAATTAAATCTTGTGTTTGCTTGTTTAGATTATCTTTAAATCATGCAGATAAATAATTCAACTTAAATATAATTTAATTTAAAAACTTAAGTTAAGCTAAGTTGAATTGAAAGTTTTAAATTTTTACCCGCCAGGTCAGATCAAATGACAATAAAAAAAATTCACAACCTAAACATTTATTATTATTATTATTATTAATTTTATTTTTTTTGTAATCCCAGTGACAGCAACCTTGTTATCACTAAAGATTTTCTCATGATCGTGACCTCACCAAAATGGCATATTATTTGAAGTGGTGGAAGGAAAACAAGGCCGCCCCTAGAGTTAAAGGCCCATGACTCAGTTTGCTATAGGGTCCATATACACAGGAGGCATAATTTGTTTTTCTTTTTTTTTAAAAAAAAGCGCCTCCGGTTAACAGCTGTTACGGAAACGATGGATTTTGGGAGCTCCGACGTTAGCTTATGGAAAAACTCCCTCTCTGCATACCCAACCCGAATTCAATCTCTCAACAAACCAAACCTCGTTTCTCTTGACGATTTTTACAGAATCGAGCTTCCTTCTCTGATTAACCAACGAAAGCCTGACCCATACATCACCACTCCCGAGCTCTCCAAGCTAATGCAATGGAAACTCTCCCGTGGCAAATGGAGGTGCTAAGATTTATTTACTTAACTTCTTTAGAACACGAGTAGTTATTACTTAGCTTATTTAATGTTCATTTCAGACCGCGTTTGCTGGATTTTGTGTCGTCCTTGGACGAATCGCACGTGAAATCGGCTTCTCAAAAGGCATTTGAATCGCTTCCTGATGTATCCAAAGCTGTGTCTGCGCTTACGGTTTTAAAAGGTGTTGGTCCGGCAACCGCCTCTGCCGTTTTGGCTGCTTACGCGCCTGATGTAGCACCTTTCATGTCTGATGAGGTAATTTTCATGGGAAATTGTTTTGATTTTATTTTTTTAATGTTCGGGTGTTCATTATTTGGTTTGTTGTGATGGTGGTGATAGGCCATGGAGGCAGTTCTTGGTAACTCTAAAGATTACACACTGAAGCAGTATCTATTGTTTGTTGATAAATTGCAGACAAAATCCAAGGTCAGTTTCATTTTTCTTTTATTAGTACTATTAAAAGGTTGTGTTCTTTTCACTTCTCATTGTCTTGATTTCGGATATTTTAATTGTATTTTTGTCACTGCTTCTTGTCATCTGTATGGATGGAAGTTCAGTCTGACTCTGGAGTTAGGACATTCGTATCTTGTTTTGGGTTGGTTATTGCTTTGCATAGTATTGTGACTGATTGTATTGGCTTGTAAACTTGTTCTTAATTTAAGATGGACTTTGCTTTCTTGGCTATTTTTATTGGGAAATTATAAGATGGTCCCTGGAAAATGGGGCTTTCGCAGCTGTCACATAATGGTGGGTTTATTTGGGTGGGGGGGGGGGGG